GGCCCTCCAGGCGCAGGGCAGCCACTGCCCACCGCACACTGCGCTGCTCCGGACCCACTGTGCGTGTGACAGCGGCTGATCTGTCCCTGGGCAGCGCGACCTCGGCCCCTCTGTGACCCGGGGCTGGCGGGCAGGCAGCGGCCACACAGGCACGGAGGGCGCGCGCCAAGGCCCGCGAGGCGAGAGCCGGCGGCCACTGCGGGGGGCGAGGGTGCCCTAACGGGGAGGGTGTGCCGTCTGTGTCCAGCAGCGATGGGTGGGTGGTAAGAAAGGGAGGCCTTCAGGGGGTTTTGCTGCTCTCTGCTTGCCGGGCTGAGGCTGGGCCAGATGCCCTCTTGGAGGGAACCTTCTTTTCCTTGTGTGTCCCAGGGTGCCAGGCCGTGCGGAGCTCCTGGGACAGCCTTCTCCGTGTCACCAAGCTGAGGGAGCCCTGGGCAGGCGTGGGTGTTGTGGCCAGCTCTTCAGCCCACAAGACCAGAGCCTCCAGGACTAGCCTCCCGAGGGCCACCTCTGGGGACTTCCTACAGGAAGACAGTGACAAGATTTGGCGTTTCTGTGTGTTTCATTCAGTGAAGCCACCAAGGGAGGCAGGGCCGCGCTGACCTATCGTGGGGCCCCAGGACGTGCCCTTTCCAGAGGCCTGTCTTCTCTGCTGATCCTTCTCAAGTCTACGGTGAAAATCTGGACGAGGAGTGTCCAGAGCCACCTCCAAGCCACAGGGCCAGGACACCTATGGCAGGCCCTGTCCTTTCTCTCTGGGTTGATGCTAGAGCCAGCTCATCAGAGAGACACTTAATCGAGGCCTCGCCGGACTTGGACTGGCCTTTGAGGGCCCCTGCCCTGAAGGGTTGGCCCTGTCACCAGCTCAGTGAGGCCTGGCAGGGGCCAGGGTCTGCCGGTGGGGAAGGCTGTGTGTGGCCTCAGGGTTGAGCACCCGCAGGGCGGGCTTCCTGCGGGTAGTGACACCGTGGCCACCCTCAGTGAGCCAGGGTGCCCTCAGTGGGCCCCAGAGGGCTCTTCTGTGCTGGGGGTGAGCAGAAACTCTGAGGCCAGTGGGTCCCAGCACTCTCCCCAGTGGAGTCTGGCCCTGCCCTCTCCCCCTCTTCTGGCCGGGGATGGTCCTGCCTCAGCCCTGGGAGCTGGCCTGGTCCTGCACTGCTGTGGGGCTGGATGTCTGCGGGAGCTCAGCCCTTCCTCATTTCAGCACGACTCCTGCCTTTGTCCTGCCTTTGTTTTCAAAGTACGATTTGAAACTCAAAAGTAAACTTCTCAGCAACTTAGATTTGCTTAGTGACCTGAAACACTCTAGCAACTTTGCGGCCCTGGGATTTTGTTTACCTCAAACAGCCAGTGAGGAGGAAGGTACCACCCCCTTCCACACCCCAGAGCACAGTGGCTGCTTGGGGACCTTTCTTGGTGGAGATGAGGGCTTGTTGGGATAGCCTCATCAGAGCCACAGCAGCAGACCAGGGATCCCCCCAGGCCACGGCTTCAAAGGAACAAGTGAAAGGGAACAAGTGAGTCGGGCATGGTGGCTCATGCCTGTAACCCCAGCCCTTTTTGGGGCTGAGGTGAGATGAGAGGATTACCTGAGTCCACGGGTTCAAGACCAGCCCAGGCCACCTGGTGAGACCTCATCTCTACAATAAACTAAAAAATTAAGCCGGGCTCGGTGGCTCAGCCTGTAATCCTGTACTTTGGGAGGCTGAGGTGAGTGGACTGCCTGAGCCTGCGGGCTCAAGATCCGCCTGGGCAACTTGGCGAGACCTCATCTCTACAATAAATCAAAAAAACAATTAGTCGAGTGTGGTAGCACGCGCCTGTAGTTCCAGCTACTTGGAAGGCTGAGGCGGAAGGATCACCGGAGCCCAGCGGGTCGAGGCTGCGGTGGCCGGGAGCGGCCACTGCACTCCAGTCTGGAGAACAGAGTGAGACTCCAAATCAAAAAAAAAAGTTGCAAAGAAATTAGCCAGGCATGGTGGCATGTGTCTGTAGTTCCAGCTACTTGGAAGGCTGAGGCGGAAGGATTGCCTGAGCCCGGCAGATTGAGGCTGCAGTGCACGTAAGCATGCCACTGCACTCTAGTCTGGACGACAGAGTGAGACTCCAACTCAAAAGAAAAAGAACAAGTGTTCTTTGAGCGGAGACCAGGAAGAGGGTGACCCACATGTGCTCTGCTAGCTCCCCCTCGGGGTGCTGGGGAGCAAGCAGGAGCTCGTAGCCTCGAGGGCACAGGGTGGGCCTACCCATGAAGGTGCTCAGGGCTGGTGCCCAGAGGTACGGCTGACCCTCCTGAGTATGGGGAAGCAGGACCCCAGGCCTCCTACCCAGGGCCTCTGCTCTGTGTGCCCAGTCTGGGGCCACAGGTCAGACAGATCCCAGCCCCCAAGGACTGCCTGGCCTCTCCCCAACCCTGCTCCGGCAGGAAACACCCAGGCCTGGCTACACCCCACACCGGGCTCCTGGTGCCCCTGGCCTCTGAGGAGCTCTCCCTGGCTCCCGTGGGCAAGCGCCTTGCTCCTTGAGTTCAGGACTCCGTGTCCCCTGTGTTCTGCCCCAGAGAAGATGGGGCGCATCCGATGCCGCTCAGAGGCCACCCCAAGAGAAAGCCAAATGCGTCCCAAACTTGTCCGCTGCGCCAACGCAGCACGAGGACCCTGTGACCGAGGGTTCCTCCCATCTCCCAACACTCCCAGGGCCATGCCCAGACCCCAGAGCCCCTCAGCTTCTCGTCACAAAGCTCTCTTCTCCAGCTCCCGCCATGCCCTCGGAGCGGGAGTGTGTGGACCACCCCCCGACCAGGAGAGGTGACAGCCAGCCCGAGGGCCTGGGAGGGCTTGGGCCGGGGTGTGGACACTGTCGTACCCCAACTTCAAAGCTGGTTTGAGGCAGGCTTCACGCCCACCCAGGGAAGGGGGGCAGCCCCTGCCCACTGGTGTCCCCACCCTCCCTAGAGCCACAAAGCTTCCTGGGTGAAGCTCCCTGGGCCTGGCTGACCTCGGAGTCCTGCACCCGCCCCCACAAGTGCTCAGTAAACCTGACAGGCGGGTCTAGCCCGTCCTGGCGTTCTTAGTTCCTGCTGCTGGTAGGGCACAGGCCAGACCGGAAACAAGGTGGGAGAGGGGTCCAAACAGAAGCCAGGACGCGGTCGGGTCAGGACCCAGCCGACAGGCCCCCCAGGCGGGGCCCTCAGAGGAGAGCCCGGGGACAGGCAGGCGAGCTGATGGGATGGGCCTGTGGAGCCACAACCGTGACCCTGCTGGCTGGTGGCCAGCAGTCCTGTGCTCAAGAGCCCCGCTGTGGCCAGCCCCAGGCAACCCGGGAGCTCCCAGGGGTGCCAGTGGGAGCCTCAAGTCCCAGACCCACAGACCTTGCCCAGGCAGCTTCAGCACACACTTGAGCCACTCTGGGCAGTTTATTGAGGCTTCGGCGTTGGGGTGGGGAGGCAGCACACGCGGTGAAGGACTCCCTGCCCCGAGCAGGCACACGCCCACAGGTTGCACACCCGGTCTGCGCATCTCCCGTCCCCAGCAAGGAGTCATCGTCTCTGGGGACTGGGGAGTTCTCAGCTGGCTTATCCCATGCTTCTCCGAGGGGCCTGGCAGGCTTGGCAAGGACCAGAGCGATGCTCCCAGCAGCTGCCATATCCCTGAGGCAGAAACCCGGCCTCCTACTGCATGGGGAAGAAGTCCTCTGTGACCACGGCATCGTCTTCTGTCATACGGGATGGCTCATCTCAGCTGCCCTTGCGGGTCTGCCATGGGAGCCTAGGCCGGGCTGGCTGCCAGTGGACACCACTAAGGCAGGAGCTGCTACCTCCAGGAGTTCTGCCTCATGGGGACAACTGTGGGGGGAACACAGGCTGCAGAAGCTGGGGCCAGAGGAGGGCCTGTCCCACAAGGGGGGGCGCCGGGACAGACATACCTTCAGGGCTCAGGCCAGACACTAGAACAGGACTCAGGGGAGCTCCCGAGAGGGGCTCCTCTTGAGCCGGAGGCAGGTCCTGTGGTGGGGGGCACGTCAGCTAGCAGGTGCGCCAGACCCTCCCCTCCCGGCCGCCCCCCAGGGCCCCTTCAACCTGTGTGCCGGGGGCAGCCCGGTCGGGCCGTG